CATTAGCCAGGTGTGTGGTGGATGCCTCCTTCCAGCTCTCAAGACGGGAGCATAAGGAGAATTGCTTGAACTGGGCGAGTGGGTTGCAATGCAGCCTAGATCGAGACCACTGCCACTCCAGCCTGAGTGACAGACTGAGACTCCGTCTCAGAGGAAAAGAAAAAAAAAAAAGGCCGGTGCGGTGCGCTCAAGCCTGTAACCCCAGCCTTGGGGAGGCCGAGGTGGGCAATCCATCTGAGGTCAGGAGTCAAGACCATCCGTGGCTACAACACGAAGAACCCCATCCTCTACTACAAAATACACACAAAATTAGCCCACTGGCTCTGGCGGGCACCTGTAATCTCAGCTACTTGGGAGGCTTAGGCAGAGAATCGCTTGAACCGCGAGGCGGAGGTTGCAGTGAGCCTGAGATGGTGCCACGCAACTCCAGCCAGAAACAGAGGCTGGGGAGGGAGGGAAGGAGGGAGGGAGGGAGGGAAGGAGGGAAGGAAAGAAGGAAGGAAGGAGGGAGGGAGGGAGAGAGGGAGGGAGGGAAGACACGGTCAGGTGAAGGCACAACTCGGGACACACAGGAGGGATGGAACAGGACCAGTTTCAGCCCAGGCCTAGGGGGCTTCCATTGGTTTACTCTCCTGTCCAAGTGACCAGAAAGAGGTATGAGACAGGATGAGGGAATCAGGGGAAGGGAGTGGGGAAACTGAAGTGCAGGAAACGGAGTTGGGGGGGCAGGAGGTAAGGAATGGCCCTGAGGTCTCACAACTCACGGTGGCCAGCGTTGTTGACAACACAATCCAGGCGGCCAAATCGGCGAATGGTCTCAGAAACCAGGGTCTGAGGAGGAAGGAAATGTCCTTTGTTGTTGTTGTTGTTGTTGTTGTTTTTGGAGACGGTGTCTCCTTCTTGTCACTCAGGCTGGAGTGCATTGGCACGATCTCGGCTTACTGCAACTTCCGCCTTCTGGGTTCAAACGACTCTCCTACCTCCGCCTCCCAAGTAGCTGGGATTATAGGCACCTGCCACCACGCCCAGCTAATTTTTGTATTTTTTAGTAGAGACGGGGATTCACTATGTTGTCCAAGCTGGTCTCAAACTCCTGAGCTCAAGTGATCCGCCCGCCTCAGCCTCCCAAAGTGCTGGGATTACAGGCACCATGCCCAGCCCAGGAAATGTCCTTTCAATGAGCAGTAGATGGGGTGTCCAGCCATAAAGAAGACAGGGCTCCCAAACGTAAGGCAGGAGGGGGAAGCTGGACTCCCAGGTCAGGTGACAAGAACTAGAGGAAGAGGGATGCGGAGATCAGCAGACACAGCAGGCAAGCAGGAGACAGAGGGCTGGTCAGAGCCACACTGCACCCAGGGTTAGGGGGTGGGGCATGGGGGTGACAAGGATTCAGAGAGAGTGTAGGGGACAGTTACTAAAGGGGGGCAGATAACAGAGAGATACTGATTAAAAGGAAGAAAGAGGAACCCAGAAATAATGGAGAAAAAAATCAGTTACAGGCCACGTGCAGTGACTCACACCTGTAATCCCAACACTTTGGGAGGCTGAGGTGGGTGGATCACGTGAGGTCAGGAGTTCGAGACCAGCCTGGCCAACATAGCGAAACCCCGTTTCTACTAAAAATACAAAAATTACCCGGGTACGGTGGCTCATGCTTGTAATCCCAGCACTTTGGGAGGCCAAGGCAGGCGGATCACCTGAGGTCGGGAGTTCAACACCACCCTGACCAACATAGAAAAACACCATCTCAACTAAAAATACAAAATTAGCCAGGTGTGGTGGAGCATGCCTGTAATCCCAGCTACTCAGGAGGCTGAGAGAGGAGAAACACTTGAACCCGGGAGGCGGAGGTTTCGGTGAGCTGAGATCGCATCATTGCACTCCAGCCTGGGCAACAAGAGCAAAACTCCGTCTCAAAAAAAAAAAAAAAAAAAAAGTTAGCTGGGCATGGTGGCGCACGCCTGTAATCCCAGCTACTCAGGAGGCTGAGGTAGGAGAGTGGCTTGAACCTGGGAGGCAGAGGTTGCAGTGAACCAACATCACGCCACTGCACTCCAGCCTCAGTGACAGTGACACCTCCAAAAAAGAGACAGAAAAATCAGTTACAGTTGACCCACTTTGAGGGACTTATTCCTTTCCACCCATGTGTCAGATGTGCTAAGAGCCTTGGAGAGGTGGGAGAGAAGGAACATGTGACCTGCTCATCAGTCACAGAAGATCTTGTGTGTGGAGTGACACTGGTTGGAAACCTTTGACGGGTCCAGTGGAGCCAGGAGAGGAAGGAAAAGTAGAGGGAAAGGCACATGCAAATGACTGGAGGAGAACAAAGAACTGGTCATTAGCGGAGATGGGGGTAGGAATGGGAACTCGGCTCACCTTCACATCATCTTCCTGAGTCACATCACAGAGGATAAAGACAGCTCCAGGGAGCTCCTGCTCCAGGGCCCGGCCCCCAGACTCTGCAGGCAGAAAAGAGCTGGGAGCCTGGACCCCTGGGTCTGAGGGAGGAGGATCTGGGGGTCTGCAGATTCCTGAGTCTGAGGGAGGAGGGGCTGGGGGCCTGGACTCCTGGGTCTGAGGGAGGAGGGTCTGGACTCCTAGGTCTGAGGGAGGAGGGGCTGGGGGTCTGAACTCCTAGGTCTGAGGGAGGAGGGGCTGGGGGCCTGGACTCCTGGGTCTGAGGGAGGAGGGGCTGGGGGCCTGGATTCCTGGGTCCAAGGGAGGAGGTGCTGGGGCCTGGACTCCTGGGTCTGAGGGAGGAGGGGCTGGGGGCCTGGACTCCTGGGTCTGAGGGAGGAGGGGCTGGGGGCCTGGACTCCTGGGTCTGACGGAGGAGGAGGGGTCTGGACTCCTGGGTCTGAGGGAGGAGGGGGCTGAGGGACCTGGACTCCTGGGTCTGAGGGAGGAGGGGCTGGGGGTCTGGACTCCTGGGTCTGAGGGAGGAGGGGCTGGGGGTCTGGACTCCTGGGTCTGAGGAAGGAGGGGCTGGGGCTCCTGGACCCCTGGACTGAGGGAGGAAGGACCAGGGTGAGGGCTGAGGGCTGAGGGACCCTCACTCACCATCCTTGTCGCAGATAACCACTTGGGCCCCGCTGTCCACTGAGAATAGGAAGGGAACACGTTACCCTCCGAGTCTTGGTTAAAGCCTCTGCCGCCCTCTTGTGGCCACCTGGATTGGGGCCGATCTCCGTCTCCCCTCGTGACCCCAGTCTCATGATCACCCACAGGACAGAGGGCAGAGGCCTTGACGCATACTCTCCTTGCCTGCCCAGGTTTCTGCTGAGGCTCCTGATCCCCCGTTCGTGGGTTCCAGAGCAAACTCCACAACTGACAGGGCCATTCCCCAAACCACTGGTTTTGCAGCTATACCAACAGACCCAGAGAAAGGGGCCACTGCCTTCGGAGACCCTGCCAGACAGCCCTAGCCTACCGCGCCACACGCTTACTTTAGCCTGCAAATTGGCTTTTATAAGATCAGAATCCCGGCTGCAGTATTGGAGACCCTATTTTCCGCCCCCATCGCCCCGCCCCCATCCTTCCTCTCTCACGCTCCTCAGCTCCCAGCAGTCAGACCCGGCTCACCGAAGGCGCGCACGATCCCAGCTCCGATGCCGCGCCCGCCCCCGGTCACAACCACCACCTTCCCGGCATAGCGCGTTCCTGTAGCCATCCGTGTCCACCGGTCTCTCTCTCTCTCTCTCTCTCTCTCTGTGTCTCTACTCTGGGCCTTTTTCACCTCCAAAGCCCCGTGAGGCCGTCGCATCAAATCCTCAATAGAAGCTGGATCGTGGAAGTCCAGCCTCGGGGGGCGTTGCCAGGAAGGCTAGGGACCTGGAAGTTTGTCCCCAGCCCCTCCTCCCTCAGACACTCCTCTCCTCCCACAGACACAGGAATCCAGGAGCCCCAGTCCCTCCTCCCTCAGACCCAGGAGTCCAGCCTCCCAGCCCCTCCTCCCTCAGACCCAGGAGTCAGGGTCCCAGCCCCTCCTCCCTCAGACCCGGGAATCCTGGCCCAGGCCCCTCCACTCTCAGACTGAGGGATCAGATTCTCTATCCCTTCCTCCCAGAGACCTGTAAGTCCAAGCCCCCTGTCTCTTCCTCTCTCAGGACCCAGGAGTGCACGACTCCGGCTCTGCCCCTCAGAGACCCCAGTGCCACAACCCCAAACAGACAGAAACAAAGCTATTGACTAAAAGTTCAAAGTTTTAATCCAAATTTAGACAGTGTTGAGAAAATCAAACTTTGGCCATAGAAACCATTTCCCTCCCGGGCGGGCGATGGGGACCAGACCACGCCCCTGATGCCCTGAGTGGTCCCAGATCTCCGGCGGTACCTCCAGACCACGTGCTCACGCTCCGATTGGCTGCCGCGTTTGGGCGGGTTAGAAGCTGGACTGTAGTAGAGTGACTCGCAGAGGCCACGCCCCCTCGTCTTGGGGCAGGACCGGAGGGGCGATCCCGGCATCCCACGTGGGCCCCCAGGGGGCGGGACTTCCTCCACGCCCACTCCCTCGGGGAGAGAACCCTGTGGAACCCGAATTAGCCACCGGGGGAGATCTGGGAGGAGGGGTTTCCTGGCGCGTGGGGTCCGAAGGAGGCAGCGGCACACGGGGAAGAGGGTCTCCCTGGGAGTCCAAATTTCCACCTAGAGAGGATGAGTGGGAGACATAAGAATGGCAAACTTCAGCAGCAGGACTCCGGGTTCCCAGGCCCCTCCTCCCTCAGACCCAGGAGTCCAGGCCCCCAGCCCCTCCTCCCTCAGACCCAGGAGTCCAGGCCCCCAGCCCCTCCTCCCTCAGACCCAAGAGTCTGGACACCTCAGTCCAGACCTCTTTCAGACTCAGATGTCGGTCCTCTCCCCGCCCCCTGACCTCTTCCTCCCCTCCTCCCAAGTGTCCCGGAACCCAGTCCACTCTTGCCTGAGACCTAAAACTCCCAAACTCTGCCCAACTCTTTCCTCGCCAACATAAAAAATTCCCACCGGCCCCTAGACCCCTCCTCTCCAGGACCTGGGATTCCAGGTCTCCAGCTTTCTCTTCCCTAAAACCCAGAAGTTCAACATCCCCAGCCAGTCACCTGTCATCATTCTGTGCCACTGCGACGCCTCAGAAGCCAGGGCTTGGGAGAGGCTGAGAACTCGCTCCCGGTGACCTTCGGAAGTCGGCAAGTAAGGGGTGGTGTTCCTTGGACTAGAAAAAAAAAGAAGATTGGGGGTGGGGTGTGTACATGGGGGAGAGGTGGGGAGGGTTAATTGGTACAAAAAGAAAAGGATGAATAAGACCTACTATTAGATAGCACAACAGAGTGACTATAGTCAATAATAATTTAATTGTACATTTTAAAATAAAGTGTGTAATTGGATTGTTTATACATCAAAGGGTAAATCCTTGAAAGGGGATGGATACTCTATTCCCCATGACGTGCTTATTTCACATTGCCTGCCTGTATCAAAACATCTCATTTATCCCGTAAATATATGTACACCTACTATGTACCAACAAAAATTAAAAATTTAAAAAAAAAAAACAGTCCAGGTGCGATGGCTCATCCCTGTAATCCCAGCACCTGGGGAGGCCAAGGCGGGCGGATCACTTGAGGTCAGGAGTTCGAGACCACTCTGGCCAACATGGGGAAACCCAGTCTCTACTAAAAAATACAAAAAAGTTAGCCAAACATGGTGATGGGCGCCTGTAATCCCAGCTATTAGGGAGGCTGAGGAAGGAGAATCACTTGAACCCAGAAGGAGGAAGTTGCAGTGAACTGAGATCGCGCCATTGCACTCCAGCCTGGGGGACAGATCAAGACTCCGTCTCAAAAAACAAACAAACAAAACCAAAAAACAAACAAACAAAATAAAACAAAAGTAAAAATAAAAATAAAAACTAAACAGCTCGCACAGTGGGGACCCGGGCACCGCGCGTGCCCTTCTGGGAGTTGTAGTTCCTAGCACGTGTCTCTAACAGATGTTAAACATGGCACCGCCCTCATACCGCCCACATGCATTATGGGATTTGTAGTCCATTCGCAAATCACTACCACCCAATTTCCTTGATGCAGAAGCAGGCTATGCTATTGACCAAGGCAATTTGGGGAACTAAAGATATCACTACGGATCTAGGGCTTTCCGGTTTTGTTTCAGATGCCCCGGGAACGTAAGCATATCTAGAAGGGTTGCGATTTGTAGTTCCATATTCAGGAGACTTCAATAATAATGCTACTCCCCTTTGCTTATGCAAATTTTTTTTTCCTGCTCCCTTGATACGCCCTCCAGTTCCTTACCTACTCCAAGACCCAGAGCTTCTGAGCCATTTCTGAGCTCCCGAGTGTCCTACGACAGGCTGGAAAGGAATTGGGGCATTAGAACTCCTCACCTGGAAGCCCCACGTTCTCATTTTGAGGGTGAAGTGAAGGGGCTCCAAAAGAGAATGAAATTGCCCAAAAACACTGGCAATGTTTTGTTTTGTTTTTCCTATGCTTCCATAGGCACTGAATTTTTAAAAATTAATTTATTGGCCGGGTGCGGTGGCTCAAGCCTGTAATCCCAGCACTTTGGGAGGCTGAGGACAAGCGGATCACCTGAGTCAGGGAGATCGAGCCATCCCGGCTAACACGTGAAACCCCGGTCTCTACTAAAAAAAATACAAAAACTAGCGCGGGCAATGGTGCGTGGCACCCTGTATCCCAGCTACTCGGAGGCTGAGGGCAGCAGAATGGCGTAAACTCGGGAGGCTGGAGCTTGCAGTGACTGAGATCCGGCCACTCGCACCCCAGCCTGGGCGACAGAGCGAGACTCTGTCTCAAAAAAAATAAATAAATAAAAATAAAAATAAATTTATTTTATTTATTAATTTTTTAGAACGGATGCAGTACAGCAGCGTGATCGTAGCTCACTGCAGTCTCAACCTCCCAGGCTCAAACTAATCCTGCTTCAGCCTCCTGAGTAAATAGAACTTCAGGCTCACACCACCATGCCTGGCTAATTATTTTTATTTTTATTTTTATTTTTAGTAGAGACAAGGTCTTGCTATGTTGCCCAGGCTGGTCTTACTCCTGCCTCGGCCTCCCAAAGTACTGGAATTACAGGGGTAAGCCATAGCACCCAGCGACTGACAATGTTTAACTTTACCTGTGTTCCTATAAAGCAGCACATGAGTTCAGAAATCCAACCTCCACCACCACCTGTGACTGTCTAAATCCTTTCTATAAAAGTCTAAGGGGCCAGGTGCAGTGGCTCACACCTGTAATCCCAGCACTTTGGGAGGCCAAGGTGAGTAGATCACTTGAGGTCAGGAGTTCAAGAACAGCCTGGTCAGTATGATGAAACCCCATCTCTACTAAAAATACAAAAAAAAATTAGCAGGGTATGGTGGCATGCGCCTACAATCCCAGCTACTTGGGAGGCTGAGGGAGGAGAATTGTTTGAACCTGGGAGACAGGGGTTGCAGGGAGCCGAGATTCCGCCACTACACTCCAGCACGGGCAACAAAGGGAGACTCCATCTCAAAAAAAGAAAAAAAAAATCTAAGGGGAGGTCAGGTGCAGTAGCTCACACCTCTATTCCTAGCACCTCCTTCCAAGGCAGGAGGATCACTTGAGCTCAGGAGCTCAACACCAGCCTGGCCAATGTGGTGAAAATCTGTCTCTACTAAAAATACAAAAATTGGCTTGATGTGGTGGCGCATCCCTGTAGTCCCAGCTACTCAGGAGGCTGAGGCATGAGAATCACTTGAACCCAGGAGGTGAAGGTTGTAGTGAGTGGAGATCGCACCACTGCACTCCAGCCTGAGAGACAGAGCAACACCTCGTCCCCGAAAAAAGAAAACACCTTTTTTTTTTTTTTTTTTTTGAGACAGAGTTTCACTCTTGTTGCCCAAGTTGGAGTGCAATGGCACAATCTTAGCTCACTGCAACCTCCACCTCCTGGGTTCAAGTGATTCTCCTGCCTCAACCTCCCAAGGAGCTGGGATTATAGGCGTGCGCTACCACGGCCAGCTGATTTTGTATTTTTAGTAGAGATGGGGTTTCTCCATGTTGGTCAGGCTGGTCTCGAACTCCTGACCTCAGGTGATCCGCCCGCCTTGGCCTCCCAGAGTGCTGGGATTACAGGCGTGAACCACCGCACCCGGCCAAAAAAAGAAAACGTCTAAGGGGAAACCATCCTGAGATATCTGAGACACTCTGATGCTCAGAGTTGGGATGTTCTCCCTACTGAAAGGGCATGAATAAAATCAATTTTCTTGCTGTCTTACATTTTCTTTTTTTGCTTTCTTGCTGTTGACAACACATAGCAACTGAGAAGAAAAACTAGGCTTCCAATCCAGATCTGTGACCCCCGCCCCCACCCACTGCCCTCCCCTCACTGCCACTCCTGTCCACCCACCACTAACCAGGCCAGGAAGCTGACTTTAGCACAAGTACAAACTGAGGTAAATCTGGAAATCCAGCTTGGAGTAAGGAGGTAGGCATTATCTCCATTTTACAGAAAGGGACTCAAAGTAGGCGAAGAGGACCTACTACCCCCCCAACGCCCAGCCCCAGTCCTCCTCCCCTCACCCTTTGCTCCACATCAGGCTGGCGTCTGGCTGGGGACAGTGTCCTTCCCAGGGTGAGGAGCCGCGGGGAGGTCGGGCGAGGGAGGGGCCGTCCACATTCCTGGTTTCTGCGCATCCGCTCCAGCTGCTCCTGGGCACTCATCCGGGGCCGGGCCACCGGGGCCTAAGGAGGTGAGAAACATCCCAAGACCCAACCCTTACACCAGGCACAGTGGCTCGTGTAATCCCAGCACTCTGGGAGGCTGAGGCGAGAGGATCACTTGAGGTCAGGAGTTCAAGACCAGCCTGGCCAACTTGGCGAAATACCATCTCTACTAAAAATACAAAAATTAGCTGGCCATGGTGGCAGGCACCTGTAATCCTAGTTACTCGGGAGGCTGAGGCAGAAGAATTGCTTGAACTGTGGAGGTGGAGGTTGCAGTGAGCCGAGATCACGCCATTGCACTCCAGCCTGGATGACAGAGCAAGACTCTGTCTCAAAAAATATATATGATGTATGTTGCTTAAACAAGGAGAGAGGGAAAAGACCAAGTGCAGTGGTGGGTGACTATAATCCCAGAGCTTTGGGAGACTGAGGTGGGAGGATCACTTGTGGTCAAGAGTTTGAGACCAGCCTGGGCAACATAGCAAGACCCCATCTCTACTCAACATAAACTTGTTAGATGTGGTGGTGGACGCCTGTCAGTTACTCAAGAGGCTGAGGCAGGGGGATCACTTAAGCCCAGGAGTTCAAGGCTTCAGGGAGCTATGATCGTGCCACTGTACTCCACTCTGGGTGACAGAGCAAGACCCCATATCTAAAAGTAAAAAGAAAAGAGAGAGAGAGCAGTCATTGCTGGAGCTTCCGGTTAAACATCCCAGCGAGATAGCATGGATCTGTGTTTATTGTAGAAACAGCCCCTGCAGTTTCCTCTGCTTTGAGCAACCCTGAATCCCGTTTATATAAATGATGGCCACTGGTCACTGTATATCACCACTGGATATTACACTGTATATGTTGCTAATTTC